TGTCTTATTCTGATGTAAACACCAGTGGTCCTACAAAACTTTGGGACAGTTGTTCTTTAACCCTCGCCTACTCCTTAGTAACACATTAACTGTAACCGACTTTGATGTTAAAACAGTCACTAAACTCCATTAAAAAAGCCTCTGGCGAAACTGAGAATCAAACATGTTAAAGTATGAATACCTTTATGTTGAAATTGACAATATTGTACAGCATCATTGATCATTTTTCAAAGAATTTCTTTTTTTTTTTTTTCAAGATATCAGCATCTTGTGGAGAAAAAAAAAACTATGAACAGTGTGATGTGTTTACAAGGATCAAATTATATAAATATACAGTTATTTATAAATGAAACATAACCTTAACATGCAGACCCAGACCTGAAGACACACACACACGCACGCACACACACTTTCTCTTAATAATCATATTTAAACAGTAACAATAGAAAATATTTACATCTGTGGAGTGAAACCATGTTCCTTTGTAAACAAAGACATTCAGTGTATGCATAAACATCACCACAGTTGAGTTATTTTCTAATCATAATTCTGTTTTAATCCTGTCATCATGTTTGTCTGAAGTATTTGTCCTCCAGTCATCCCTTAACCACTTATTGAAAACAGCCACAGGGTCAATGTTCCAGTGTTTATGGAAGGAGATGGGGACCTGGTGAGCTAAGAGGTCTTTAGCATAGTCCTCTGGGCGTGCCTGAAAGCAAATAAGAAATCCAGTTATATTCATACTTCAAAGAAGCCACATCAAACTTTAATGATTAAATGGAATTAAAATGCAAAAATAAATCCAAGCATTACAATCTAAAAAAAAACCAAAACAAAAAAAACAGATCTATAAGTACTTGAATAACAAAAGCAATCAATTTGCTTAAATTTTTTCACTTTGGTTGCATTAAAACCATACATTTTCATTTAAGTAACTGGGATTCACAGTCAAAAGGAATGTTTAATTGTGAAGTTAAAAAAAGAATACAGATGGTGTCATTTTTTTTTAGAGCTAAAATGTTTTAAAGCGTTTGAGTTCAGTCCCACTGAGATTATCCTTTGTAGACCCATTTTTTTGCTGCAAGCCTTGCACTTTCTAAAAGTTTTGAAAATAGTGAATTTTTATTACCCTCCCAAAATACTCCAGGCTGTCGTATTCGATCTGTGTCTTACTACCTTTATTTTTGATCTGCAATTGTTAAGAATAAAATTATTTTGTTGCCACCTCACAATTCTCCTCTGATTTGCATTAATCTGTAGTGGTCAATTGCAATGTGAAAATGTTTCCAGGGTAGGATCAATATGGCCAAAATGTATCTATGTTCTTTAAAACATAGATAAAAGAAATGTATTATGAAACAAATGTTATAATACGTTTATTCATTTCATTCAATATGATATCTTTATACTAAAAATTAATACATAAAGGAATCATAAAAAGTGCCACGAACGCTGTAATGAAACATCAGAAATGTATGCTTTATAATCTTATAGCAGTGGCCTTCCTTAAGGTTTTAACGCTTTCATGTGGAAAATAGAAAAAAAACAATTACTGATCTTTAGAGGTGTCAAAACTATCAGTGTTTGTTACTTAAGTAGAAGTATAAATCCTACTGTTGAGAAAGCACTCTGTACTTTTTACACAAGTAAAATTAAAGTACAATTTTTAAAAGAAAATATGTTAAGCACAGATGCTTTAAACCTCTGATTATTGCACTGCCTTTTTATAGGAACACTTTAATACAATTCTGGATGATAACTTCCTAATACAGTACTTAATTTTCTCAGT